CACGACTGCTCATAGTTATATTACTGTATGTAATATATACTTGTTTCAGAGGAAAGGACATGTTGCTAATTGCATCTCTAATGCTCTCAATATATATTGCAGTAGAGTCTATTGCTAGGCCTTTTAAACGACTGTCACTGAATATTTTCAATTTGTGTCTCCTTTCATTTTCAGCTCTTATTTATGGATCTAGCTGGTACTTCATGAAAAGTGATCATGAAGACGAACTAATGATCATTATTGCTGTTTCTAATGCTGTTATCATTACATCTTTGCTTGGTGTAATCATTATACACATTTTATGGGTAACTGGTCTATTAAAAAAGATAAAGATTAAGTTTAGGAAGTATTGGTTTCATCGTCTACCACGACAGAATCAAGAAGAAGCAGCTCATGTTGATATGAGTGGATCATTTTTTGAACCTTATGATAGAGTGAGAGAACCACTCCTCTCCTCAGCTTGTGTTCAATATCATTAATATAGCTGACTCTTTTGTTTGTTGTGTGAATTTTATACTTTATTTTCAGTGTTCCTGCATGCACACACAGCTACCTAATGTTATTAATAATAACTATATGCAGTTTTTCCTGTATTAATGAAGTACAAATTTTATAGCATTCTTGTAATGGCTACTGTAGTTGTTGTATTCTAGTGTACATTTTGTCACTGAATTGAATTTTATTGATTTTGGACATAGCTAATTTATTTATTGAGTTTTTTATAGCAACGCAGTGATAGTGCAGTGAATTGAACTACAGTTAGCGCTAGCTCCACCTAAAAAGTTATAATGATAAATCCGCCCACAATTCAAAATGGCCTCAAGTGCTGAAGCTTTTTCTGTGAAGATCCTGGAAGCATGTGAGGCAGGAGAGACCTTTGTAAAAGAGTTTTATTCCACTGTAGACAGGAGAAGAAACGTAAGACATTAATACTTCTATATTTTCTTCCCAATATGATCAAAACTAATACTATTCTCTCTTTCTACTTTTTATATATACTCAGTTGTTATCAGGTTTTTATTCTGATACATCATTCATGGTCTGGAATGGTCACACTCACACTGGATCAGCTAATATAAGCAACTTCTACCAGTCATTGCCAACCAGTGAACACGAAGTGACATCATTTGACTGTCAGCCTCTCAATGGTACTAATGCATGACATGTATACTCAGTGGTAATACATGTCATGTAGTTTATTATTGTTTAAAGATATGCAAGTTTCTGCCAAGATTCTTTTCAAAATTCTAGAGATGCGTAGAATAAAGCAGTCAAATTTATTTATACTGTGGTTCTACATGTATGTCATGTGTACAGAACTATAGTTAAGCCAAAATCATTCAAAATACAATGTATAATATAGCTACTTAGTTTCAAGAAACTTGTTTTTTGCAAGTTTTTTTTTCTTTCTTGCACTCTTTATACGTCTTTGTATTGATCAAAATTGGCAAACGTTAATTCACAAGAGCAAATTTTTATTTACTAACATTTTTTTTTTCTTTTTAAAGATGGTCGTGATCAAACTCAGGTACTTGTATCCTGTTCTGGTCAAGTTTTATTTGACACTCCAACAGAAGGCGTGGCTGGAATGGGAGGGGCCAGCAATTTTGGCTCCAATCCTACTAATTTTCATCAAAGTTTCATACTTGTGAAGCACCCCGAGTACTGGAAGATTGACAGTGACTGTTTCCGTTTTCAAGAACTATGAAAAACACATATATTTACCATTGATGGATTATAATTATTGTAAAGTATTCACAATATAAAGAATCAATATCTAATCCAGCCATTTTAAAATCGCCTATATCAGGGCATAGGACTGTTGCAGAGTGAAGGCAAGCATGGAGAATAAAATTTTAATATTGTGGTATGAGTATTGTGTTACAGCTCCATAATAGACACAATGCAGAGTGCAGTTAATCATCACATAGATATTAAAATAAATAAAATACCTTTATCTCATGCATTATTAATTAATTGGCTGGGTGTGGTCATTGTATTTAGTACATTAAGTAGTGAATTTTTACCTCGGTTTTCATCCAGTTTTATTTAAATACTATGAGTCTGTACGAGCCTACAAGAGGCGGTAACAGAGGAGGAAAGGATCAGTTCGCTTGGGAAGATGTAAAATCCGACAAATACAGAGAGAATTACCTGGGTAGGTTTGATTGTACATGTGTGTTTAATTTATGATTGATTTTGATATTTTATTATTTTTATATTGTAGCTCATTCCTTGATGGCTCCAGTTGGTAGATGGCAGAAAGGGAGGGATCTAACGTGGTAAGTATATCACTATACAGCTGGTATACTAGATCAAAATTGAAAAGGAGAGAATTCTCCATTTTTATTACATTTTCTAATTAATACGTGCCCTTATATTACCGTATAGTGGGTTATTTTTAAGGATAACAAATTTTGCAGATTTTTCAAGATTTGCAAAATTAAATTCCTTGAAAATCAATTAAATACGGTACAAGATGGTAGAATAGCGGAAATTCGCAAAAATTAATTCTGCAAAATTCCGGATACAGGTCATTTGCGAAATTTATTATCCTTGAAAAAAATCTGCTATACGGTATGTAGAAAGTTTGAGGTGATTCCAATCTAAATTGGATTTTGTATGAAATTTTAAAGTTGCTCCAAAATTGGGCCAAAGACCACATGTGGTATTTCATCAGAAATTTAATGTATAACATTTTATGTCTGTTTGATTGTGTCTAGGTATACCAAAGAGTCAAAAGTATCAGGAAGAAAGGAAGCTTTGAAAAACGTAAATAATTAATCAATAAGATCTGGTAGCAGTGTAATTATTTATTTATTATTAAGAGAGAGAGAGAGAGAGAGAAAACACCTTGCATGTAGTATTATTATTTTTATTATTGCTTTTTTTCATCATTGTTAGGAGGTTGCAGCTGTTAAAAGAGCTGAAGAAGAAGCTATGGCACTCGCACTGTAAAAATTTTTCCTCTTTCCTTTGTATCTAAATTTCTCTCCCTCCCTCTCCCCCACCCCCTCTCTCTCTCTCCCTCCCTCCCTCCCCCCCTCTCTCTCCCTCCTCCACCCTCCCCTCACTGATCCTAATTCTCCTCTCCCTTCATTAGCGGTCAAAAGCTACCAGCTGTTAAATCAGTTGCTCCTGGTACCAGCAACTTATCAAAAAGAGAACTGATTGATGTCTGTAGGAGAAGATCCTCCGAAGGTGCTACAGACACAACTACAGGACGCGAGATTATTGAAGGAATTGGATACAAGAGGTACATGTCTTAGAGATAAAGGAGAGAGAGAGGAGGATGAAGAAATATTATTTAGTGGGAAATTTTGGAGGGAGTTAAATTTGCTGTATTTGCTAAATTTTGATGATTGGCAAATTTTGATGATTGGCAAATTTTAATTTAACAAATTTGTGGCCACGTGCCATTGAGCATGCATATAATGGCTCAAAATGATGGATTTTATTTTGATGAATGGCTATCAAAATGCCAAATTTAATTCCCTCCACCACTATATTGTACATGTACATGTATTTGCTAATAATAATCTCTTTATTGTGTTTCGTTTGTAGTCAAAAGAGACAGCTATTGAGTACTTCAAATCCATCAGAAGAAGGCGTGACCAGTTTTGAAGTTAGTAAACCACACCCAACCACGCCCACTTATTAATTAACATATTGTCTCATGGAGAATAACCCTATGCTGTCTAGTAACTGATAAAACAGCAATCTATGTAGCTATTCTTTTGGATTTTTTGCGAATTTTTAGAGTTTCTCAAAAATTGGGCCAAAGCCCCTGCACTATTATACCAAAAAATTGAAAAGGAGAGATTTTCTATTTTTATTATTTTTCTTGATGCATATACAAGCTCTTATGTTGTGTAGAAAGTTTTGAGTTGATTCTAATCAATATTCTTTTTTATGAATTTTTTAAGTTGCTCCAAAATCAGATCAAAGTCCCTGTACTATTAGTAACGCGGTAGCGTTACTAAGTAGGATTCACCCCCAAACAAAATGGCTGCCACGACTTTTGCAGCCTTGCTATACCAGGAAAACGAGCTCCTATGCTTACCAGACTTCTTAGAGGACCTCATCTTGACCAGAGGACTCCATTGGTACCACTAGCGTGGCTCTAGACCTTGTCTAAGAGAAAATCCAAAAATCGGCGAACCGGCCGTTTTGTTCAGCCACCTTTTTTCATCTTCATCATCATCATCAAGTCAGAAGTCCTGTCAATCCAGTTGTCGGTGTGTATCTCAGTATCAGTTGGTGCTACAAGGATAATTCTTACATCAATCTACTCCAACAGTCTATGCGCAGGTCCATGTCCCATCAGATCATTCTTCAAGTGAGGAAAAAGTGATACTGTGACTGCTGGATCGAGCCATCTTAGCTGCATGCCGCCATTTTGTTAATTAATGAAGTTTGCCATGTGCTCCAAAATTTGGGTGTGGTCGCGCATGCTCAGATCTGCCATAGATATTATAGACTACGTAACAGAAGTAACGTAACATTTGCAAGTAACAGAAATTTGAACAATATCACAGTATATTTGCAAAATAACAATGGTATCATTATTTTTTTCATTATAGTCATGTTACACAAACACTAAAGTATTGAAATATTATTAAAATAACAAAAAATCAACATTGGTTTAAATACAGTCTTCCTTTGAATGTCGTCGATGAGTAGCCATTTTTTGACCACACCCACCAAAATCCAATCACGGACCCTGTGTCAGCTGGTTTGTACTGGTTTGAATGGATCACGTGACCTAGTTTCCAATCCCGGTTACGTAGTCTATAATATCTATGGATCTGCACTCTCGAAGAAGCAAGTTATTTTACCAAGCTATGCGAATCAACTTACTGCAATACTTTAGTGGAGGTTTCCAGCTAAAAGAAGGTATTGATTTTACATGTTACTGTTTTATCAAGTGTGTTATTTTATTTTATTAAAAAAACAAACAATTAATTAATGTTATGACTTATGATATGCAATGATAATTATGCCCTTGACAACAGCCTGGAAGAACAGGAATAGCAGGGAAGATGGACACTTTTAGCTCACAGGTTCTTGAACAAGGACTTGTGTCAAGACTAATTCCTTCAGCATGTCTATTTGATGCTGTCTCTCATAAATGTTATAACAATGATAATAATAAAGAAAATTATTGTTTGTGTAAAATCAACAAGCATCACAATTGCAACTAAAGAAATACTATAAATATTATTTTAAAAATCAACACAAACAAGAACATAAAAAATTTATAAAAAAAGATGAAGTAGGATTCTGAACGACCAACGAAAATATGAAATATTATAAAAAAATCAACACAAACAAGAACATAAAAAATTTAAAAAAACAAGA